ATAGATAGATAGATAGATAGATAGATAGATAGATAGATAGATAGATAGATAGATAAATTAACCTAAAAACAATGGAATACTAAGATTCCATTATCACACAACATTTTCAAAAATGTTTTGTTGTTCTTTGGTTTTAAGTGGTAAAATGATGAAGTAATTTTAAAAAATTGGGGGAGGGATTTATAGACATCTGACTTTAAATACTGAATCTATTGTCCAGAAAGACCAATGGCAAGAAACTGCTCAGGTATCCTAATAGAGGTGGTACATCAGTAATGTTCAAAAGGACTTTTATTTGTTTGACTGGTTTTCCCCCTGGCTGTTACTGTTGTGTTGAAGACAGAACTTGATTTTTCACACATGCTACACACGAACTCTCCTAATCAGCTATATAGCGCCCAGAGTAAATAAACTTAAATTTTTTTTTGTTAAAAAACAGTTAAGTTTGTATTGACTAATTCAAATGTAGTGATAATGTCATATTTACATTCTGTGCATTATTCCATCAGATTATTTACAGGGTAGTTTGTCTGTAATATATTGTCATATCATAAAAAAATCACAAGTATAGCCAGAAAGAAATTTTCATTAAGCATTCATAACCATTTGGGCAAAATTTATAGAAATTTGTCTGATAAATAAAAGAGGCGAGGGAGATGATGTGGCTGGTGAGAGTGACTGTGACTCAAACCTAAGGACTTGAGTTCAGATCACTAACACCCATTTGAAAACCAGACGTGGTGGAGCATGCACATAATCTATGACTAGAGGTTGGGAGGAGCTGGGAAGAGGGCAGAAATAAATGGGTTCCTGAGCTTCCTGGTCAGTCACTCAGTCTAGCCAGTTGAGAAGTTCTGGGTTCAGGCAAGACTCCATCCCCAAAAGTGAGACGGATGTACACTTGTGCAATAATGGTACCACAGCGGTGGGAGTAACCAACTGTACTGTGTTTGTGCTCAAGACTGACTCCACAAGAGGAAATTTGTGCTTAGAATGTAAATCTTTTTAATTAAAATCCTGTGGCTGGGGAGGTGATAAATTCTGAGGAAAACTTAATAATATTATTTAGCTAAACTCTTATAATGTCAAACTGCCTTCTAAAAAAATTTTATGTTCAAGGGAAATGATGCTTTCAGTCTTGATCAGATAATCCACTTGCTCGTCAAAGCTTGTGAATGAAGTGACTCATGGTTGTTCAAGAATCTGACAATAAATAAAGCATAATTTCTTACTCCCAATAAAAATATTCATGCTGTCTTCTCAAAAGCTCACAAAATATGAGCAACGTGGTGTGGAAAGAGTGAGAGAGGGGGATGATTGCATATACCATCTTTTGATCGAGGTGCAGTAATTGTAAGTATGCACATACTGTAGCTGCTGATTTCTACACTGATGCTTTGTGATAACAAGCAGGCAAACATGGCAAGACCAGTGGCTCCAGGGCCTGGTTAGTGAACTCTTCTCTACTGATTGATTCTAGGAGGAGAGATATGTTTTTCAGTTATCTACTCACTGGTAATCCAGGTAGGCTTCATTGTATTTCCACACCTGTGATCTGACAGATGGCTCTGATTAAACTCAGTGGGTCACAAAATGAAACATTAAGACATGGATTTGAAAGGGGACTTGGAAATTGAGTGTTGGGAACATGAGAAGGAAATGAGGTGGTATATGGAGAAAATAATCAGGATATACTGCACACATGTATAAAACTATCAGAGAAATAGCTTAATTAACAAACAACAAAATACGATGAAGATTGATAGCAGAAGATAGTTTTCTTAATTTTAAAATCTGCGGCGGACCTTGTGATGGCAGGCAGTGGGCTTTGGGAACAGCCAGTCCCAGACAGAGACTGGCTGTGCGGGCAGGCAGGAGACAGAGACACGGATAGACCCAACATGTAGAATGAGGTTAAATATTTATTCAGGGGGTTATGGAGGGGAAAGGGAAAAGGAGGGGCAGAGAGGGAGGGAGAGAGAGAGAAAAAGAGAGAAGGGGAGAGAGGAGAAAGAGACAGAGAAAAAGGGGAAACGGAGGGGGGACACATGCACCCCAAGAGAGAACAGTAAGTGATCTAAGATGGCAGCAGCAGGGAGGGGCTGCCAGGAGTGGGCGTGCCTTGCCTCTTAAAGAGACAAAAACCATAACATTCCCCACTCTTTATTATAATAAAAAGCAGGAGATTAAACACCACAGTTTGACGGAATTGGGGCAGCAAATTCTCAAGACTGCTTCTGCCTTATTTGTGGGCATCGTCTTTGGGGGGGATAAACCCTGAGAAGGCTGGGTGCTGGCCACATCCGGCATTGCTGGTCTCTTTGCTCCCAACCAGTATCTGTGGCATGAAAATGTCTGGTGTCTCTCATCCTGTTTAAGGTATTGGCAGAACAAAGAACAAAGTTAAATTAAGGAAAAAAAAATTTTTTTGGACCAGGGAATTGAGGGGGATGTATCTGACCTGTTTAATGTAGATTTTTTAATTCAGCTCCCTGGAACTCATAAGAACTCCTTGGGTTTGTGAAAACAGAAGTTTTAGACATATAATGACTATGGCATATTTTTTTACAATGAAAAGTATTTTTTTAAGACAATGGAAGGCAGCATAAGAGAGAAATTTGATATGAAATTTATTTGGTGAGGTAACCTGGCAAAACCTCTCAGCTATCAAACTATCAGAGATCTTTGAGAAGGATAAGATTTTACTTGAGTTGCTGATTTAAAAAACTGACAGAGAACTTACTTGGTTGGTTAGCACCCAGAGCTACTCTTTTTCGGGTCCTCCATGGTCATTGAAAGTTCCACTTGACCTTTGCTGTTTAGCGCCAGGCCTGCCAGGCTCTAGAAGACCCTGTGGGCTAAGAAATCTGTAGGAAGACAGGCCTACCTTGACCTGAGAAACTAGGCTGTCGATTCCAGCGATTCTGTCCACGTGTGGAGGTCTTCAGTTTAGGTGAAAGGCAGTTTTACCCAATGGTCAGCGCTCGGCATTCTAAGTGAACTGCAGATGGACGTTGTTCTGCACCCATTTGTCTTCTGTCTTCTTGGAGAAAAGAGAGTGCTGATGGGAGCCAACCTG